CATTTAAGTGAAAACTGCAAATTTTTGCCGACTAATTTTAACGGCAATGTTTATGCAGTGACACATTTTGAAAACGCAGCAGCCCATTTTATGCAGCATCAAAATTATCAAGAAAAATGCAAAAAAATGAATTGAAGAGAGAAGAAATTTTGCCGGAGAAGCGTAAATTATAGTCTAAAAAAGCTCCCAGTGAAGAAGACGGGAGAATTCGTTTCATAAGGGCCAAAATATTTTGAACTGCGTTGAACTGCAATAAAAAGCAAATAACTGGATTCAGAAGATGGAAAAAAAAAAGATAAATTTTAACACTTAAGAAAATGCTGCTGAAAAGTAGTCAGCAGGAGCAGCGGAAAAAGAGATGCGAAATCCTGATTAGACTGCTTCACGCTTCGAAAATCACTGAGTTCTCATAAAAGACTTATTCATAGTGACAGCGAAGCCGGGGCTGGCAAAGCAAGACCACCCAGCTGTATTGCCACTCGTCACTAATTCCCTGTTTTTTTTTAAAAATGCCAGTACACAGCGAGTCTAGAAATTATGAAAATATTTTACTCCGCTCCTGGAAAATTTTCTCAATCGCTTTTTTTCTAAAAATCCTCCCTCCCCCCTCTCTCCCCGTCCCTCCCATCGCCATTCCGTTCTCTCTTCTCTTTCAACAAAACAAGCAGTGTTGGTGGCTGGTGTTAATACATATTTTGAAGCCCATTTGTCTTCCTAGAACTGAATCAAGCAAAATCTGGAAAAATATGTTTCTATTCATTCATTTTAGCGCATTTCTTTCCTGAACTGACTAGGTAAGCAAGGTAAATTTTATAAAAAATTCTTTTCTTCCACAGTTTAAGGATAATTGTTAATTACAATTTCACTCAGCACGAGATGTATTTACGCAGATTTCTGAATTGGCATATTACTAGCAAAATCGCACAAGCGGTGCTTTTGAACGAAAGAATGGAAAAAAGATCGCTCGACAAGGAATTCTTGTGAAGCCAGCGATGATAATGAGACCTAGCAACCGCATGTCGCATGTGAAAAAAATACGTTATTAATAAGTTAAAATACGTAAAAAATAGGTCAAATAAGTTAAAAACACACTATAAAGTGATGCAAAACAGGAGAGGTTTTGCTCTG